GCATTAAGCTATCTTGTGTAGCTATGATTTTGAGTCCATAAATCCTAAAGCATTCTTTTTTCCTGGACCTTCAAAATTTGATGTATTCTCAATTGGTAAAGTCTGAAGATCAGCAAAGCTGTAACAGCCAGTACAAGAATTGGAATGTATGCTGGGCGATGACAGCAGGCCCCCGGAGAACTCAGAAATAGTCATGTACACCACTCCCCTCAAATTTTAAACAAAATTGTTGACTTTTCTTAATTCTCTTTCTACTCACGTCAAAAATGTTCCCTCATCCCTCCTGACTGAATAAAAAAAGAACGTTTCACTACGGTTACCTGAAGTTTATTTCAACTTCAAGAAATAAGTCCCCATTCTGAACACAAGGAAATCAAGATGAAATGTTTCGGAATCTTCATGACTGGTTTCTATCCTCAAACGAGAAATGGAACTAGCCCTGGATGGGGGAAATCGTAATAGCTTTAGATGTGAAAGAGGTCAAATAATTCAGTATTCACAAAGGTTTCCTAATTCTAAGCCAAGAAATGAATATATAAAGCAAGTTGCTAAAAATATGACATTTGTTAGAGAGTACTATTTTTCACTATGGAATGACTAACATTTTAAAAAAAAAAAAAAAGGAAAAAAACACCTACTTATACTCATCACAAAGCCTCCTACTCTGCAGCAACCCTGACTTTCCTGAGCTGAGTGTCTTACTGATGAAGCAAAAAAACATTTTTACAATTCTTCTAAGTATCAACACTCTTATTTGATTGAAACTGTAGACTAATATACTATGAGACTTGGTTGAAGACAGCGTTTTCATAACAACCACTTGTTTAAACACCTCTGCATTTCTCTTTTTTGCTAGATTATCACTTCTCACCCATGCAATACTTTCTTAATGACCTAATTGTATTACTCAGGGAAGCATTTTCCTGGCCTATCTAGGGCAAGTTTCAAGTTCTTGGTAAATGAAATGTTATTTATATTAAAGAGATAAAATTAAGTAACAGTGACTGGACCACATTTAATTAACTCAAACTAGTACAATTATATTTATTGAAAACTTGTTTTCTGCATCTCAAGATGAACTATACAGTTTATAATTTTTGCACATTATAAAATGATAATTAAGAAAATATTCCGGAAGCATACTGTTTGTATTCTGCAAGCAATGGAGAAATTCCATTTTAACGTCTAGCCAGTCATCCCATTAAAGGAACAATCCTGACAAATAAATAAATTAAAGCTGGGATCAAATACGACTGCAAAAATTATACTGTATTCCTTATGTGTTTTATGTTTTTGATCTCAAAGCAAATTACAGTTATCTACAAATATATGCTTAGCATCTGAAAACATAATTTCTTGAAACTCCTATTTCAAAAGCTAAGTAAAAAATCACCAGTGTCTTATGTATTACTTAAACATAGTCATTTATTCCATCTAATGTTTCTTATAAATACTAAAAAAGCAAATTTATAAGTGTCAGCTCCAAAAACTACTAGTGCATACGATATGTTGTTTAAAAGAGGGCAACTATAGAGCTAACATAAAAGTGAAAGCTACTATCTTAAATACCTAATTACGAAAATTCCTAACTCAGAGATATTCCAGGATATCAAATATCCAGAGATATTTGATTTCTCAAATATCAATATTCATTAACACCCACATTTCCAAAGCAGTAACCTGTATTGGGTTGTCTGATGTTGCTTCTTCTTTAAAACAAACACCAGGGCAAAATCCAGAGTAAAGTTTATACATTTATTGCAGGAACAGCTAGAGATCAAAGGGAAAAGAACAGACCAAAAGTCTTTGGATGAGAACTCTGTAGCTTTTCAACACTGATCAGTTCCATCAGGAGCTTGTGTGCAGAATAGAAGATGAAACATCCTACCTTCATTAGCAAGTTTTATACATAGAACTATATTTTAGTTTTCTACCAGTAAATCTTTTAATGTGCATATTATGTTTAGTTTTATGATAATGATAGCAATGGCATAACACCTAATTACTGGAGTTTATCTTTGGTTTGAAAACTTGCAAGAGAACACTACTGAACAGCATATAAAAAGATTAACGTCCACACAGCATAGCAAAAAATATATATTCTTTGCTAAAAATCTCATAAGTAGAAAATAGTTTACTACCAAAAAAAAAAGACTTAAAAATTAGCAAAGTCTTCCTTTCCTAAAAGTTGAGGGAAGCAGTTTCACCTAATAATGGCAGTAATGATCTAAAACTAAGCTTAATGTTATTCTCATAGTATTGTGCACATTATTTATTTATCAAATCCCAGTCAACATTTTCTTTTCATGTATTTAAGATATCACAAAAAGTAAAGTTTTATATGGATGTACTTTAACATAAGCAACCTTGGACCACAGCAAGGAATGTCAACATGCAAATAATGTAAAAAAGAAGAACCCCCAACTTTTATCACCCCCTCTGTCCACTGACCACCATAGGGGTCTCCTTCAGTAAAAAACTACCAGAAAACAACTTCAACTGGAATGCTCTAAAAAACCCAGGCCAATGGATTCTGCTGGTAAGGAGTCCAGACACGTTATTTCACATGTAGTACACCCACCTAGAAAGTGTATATATTCCCGAATGTGTTTCAAAGCCTCCGTGTTCCAGACGCGCAGTCAAACCTGACAACACAAATGTACACCCAAACTGGAGGGTCTCAAACATTTCCGAATAAGGGTTGACTACATTTCCTCTTTTGCTAGTTCTCATAATTGCTCATCAACCTCAACAGATCTTTGCTTTGAACATTCCTTCATTCCTTCTTTTTTTCCCCCAGTCATTGCGAATATACCTCCTCCCACCCAAGCTCTTCCATTTTCTACCCTATGCTGCTCGGCTGCAAAGTGTATCACACTCTGGCTGTGAGAATTTCTGAGTTCATGAGTAGTAGTTTTGAGGTTAACTGGGATCTTCCACTAAACTAGACAGAAGCTTCCAGAGTAGGTGTACTCCTTTGCTGATTTAAACAATTTCGTGGTGCCAAGATTCGGGGAGGGGGTAGGGGCTAAGCCAGTAAAACACTAATGAGGTGTCATTGAAAATGATCACCCCAAACCATTTTCTCTCCATTTCTCTTAAGAAGCTCTCCTCTGTGCCATACCCAATATCTAACAAAAAAATAAATCTGGATGACTGTGCCTCTGCATGAGATAACACACTACAAACATTCATTTGCTTCCTTTTGCATCTCAAATAAAGCCTCCTCCTCTCTCAGGAGACTGGGATGCTTGGGAAAAGCTGCAAGGAATCTTTTCAAACACAAAGGCAATGTATTCTGTCTTGGTATAGTACAGAAATAATAGAGCTTTCTTCTAGGTGAAGCTCTATTGACTGTGACCTTGGTCCTATCCCAGAAACTTGTTGTTCCCCAACTTTAACTGGAGAAGCAAATATGCCTCCTCCCTGCTTTGCTTTTTTTTCAACAAAACCACAGTTTTAAATGAAGTGGTATCTAAGTTCTGACAATCCCGCCCCACTCAGTCTTTACAGTCTGTGGCAGGGCAGATGCCACAAAGCACAGCCACAGTTGTGTCCCTCCTTCCTTTTCCTTCTATGCCATTTGGAAGCACCAGATCTGGGGTCCACATTTCAGGAGCCACATTCTGGCCTCCTGGCTTGGACGTGCTCCATGGCCAGGGCAGACAGCTGGCTGAGGACAGCCTTTTGCCCTCTACAGGGGATTTCTCCAGCCCTCTCTTCTTACAGGGCAAATCCATTTTCCGTGACATTTCCAAGCAAACCTCTACTAGTCAAGTTTCCCCAGCGGGTAGGAGTGTCTAAAAGTCCTCACCTAAACGGAGTCCTTCGAAAATGAATCTCTAGTAAATAAAATAAAATAAACCAACCTCTGAACCAAAACAGTAGAGTGTAGAACATGCGTGGGGGTAAAAAAGCGTGGAGAATAAAAAGAAAAAATTCTCCAAGCTTCGCCCCCTTTCCCGCTTTCTCATTTACAGTGAGCGGGACGTTCAAATTATTTTGTAGTTTGTTGATATTTTAAGGGTTTGTTGTTTTTTGTGTTTTTTTTGTCTTTATTTGGTCTTTTTTAAAAACGGCACTGCAGGCAGCAGTGCCCACAGGCAGAGGGGCAAACTCAGCCAGGATGCCCCCTGCCAGTCATCTCCGCGCGGCCCAGAGGGGGATCCCGGAGGGAGGAGCAGGTGCGGAGAGGGTCCTCGCCTACACTGCGGGTCCGTGGGGGCGCGGCTCCGGCCCGGGCAGTGCTCGGCTCCACAGCGGGGGAGGGCCACCTGGAGCCTCCGCAGGTGCCACCCGCCCCCCTCCCCGCTCCCCAGACCCGCTTGGCCGCCAGATGCCTGGGGCAGGCGCGGTCTTTGCGCTGGCGTAGCTGGGGCAGCCGGAGAACCTCTCCGGTCCCCGCCACGAGTTCGCGCCCGGGGCAGTGCAACTGTAGCTGAGACCGCCTCAGGGGTCGTGGCAGAAAGGGTCTCAGTAAGTACTGGAATGAAAACAAGCCGTGGCCACCGACGCCTCAGTAGCCGGCATCTCCGAGCGGAAACAAGCTGTTCCCCGCGGCGGGCGGGCGGGGGACGAGGAGGCAAAGTGGCGGCGCAGCTCGGGCAACTTTGCCGGGCAGCCAGGTGACAGCGGGCACAGACCACTGCCGCCGCTTCCCCGGCGAGGCTGCCGAGCCCTGGGCGCCCGGTCTTGAGCCCGGAGCGCTGCTGCAACTCCCCCGGAGGAGGACCGGGCGACTGTTGCCGCGAGCGGGAGGCAGGCAGGGAGCCCAGCCCCAGAGTGCGAGCCGAACCCCAGAGAGCCGCCCTCCATGTCCTCGGCCCTCGGAGGGGCGCCTGAGCCCGGGTGCGCTGCACCCCAAATGCCCACTCGCCGTCCCAAGGGGCCACCAACTATTCTAGCGGTGCAAGGAAGAGGCAGCGGAAGAAAGGGAGGAGAGCAAGAGAGCGGACGAGCGCGAGAAAGCCGGACCGACGCCCGCCGGGAGGGTCACGTACCTTTAGCTCCTCGATGTCCAGGTTTGTTGATCTGTCCATGGAGCGAAACTAAAGGAAGTGGAGAGAAACCGGGCAAGTTGAACCAAAAAACAATCTAGTCTTTTAGTTTCCAGCCTAAACTCAGCTTTATCCTCCTCCAAGCCCTGGCAGCTTCTCTCAGTCTCATTCTCCGTGATCGCGCCGCCTCCACCGGTTAAAAATAATAAAAATAAATAAATAATAATTATAATTCAGTTTGTTTTACTTCCTGAAAGATTTAGTGACAGGTGATCTTTACCGCGGTGCAACACAGCCCCAGTCGAATCAAGCAGGCGGTGGGGGGTGGGGGGGGGAAGATCCCCTCTATTTAAGATTATTTCTTCTTCTGCAATAAGCTTAGAAACCAGCGAATTGCTGCATCCCAAGAAAAAAAGCTGCTTCCCTGGACAGCATCATGCGGCAAATTTCAAGCAAATGTGTTCAAACTGAAGAGAAGAGTATATGATAAAAGCCTTCCTCCGCCAGGCTTACTCTGGTAGCTAATTTAGCACACTGTGAGTCCCAAGCAGTGATCAATTTCCCTGGCAAGATAACCAAATCCCCGAAGTCGTGCATGGACTTAAAAACGTCTTGCAGCTAAGAGGTATTCTCTCAATGGAGAAAAGAAGATAATAAAGTCTGAAGGGAACGATCTCCTTTGAAGGTTATGCTAAAAAGAGTTGAGAGAATAGGACGGGGGATCCTACAGAGGAGAGAAAAGAGGGGGAGAGAGAGAGAAAGCCAGAAAGAGAGAGGAAAATTCTCCTCCTGCTTTGCTGTTTTACTGGCCTTCACCACCAGGTGACTGACTTCACTTCTCTCTTCCCACAGCCAGCGCTAAGGGGATTTCTCTCATCTGTCAAAAAGCAACATTTCCTCTCCAGACAAATACTGGGCCGCTGGGTCTTAAAGACAGCCCTCTGCCTGGAATCCAGTAGGTGACAAGCATTTTAATTCATTTCACGTGTTGCCTCATCTCATTGCTGTAGAGCTGGGAGGAGCACACATGGGTGGTTCATTCACGTGTATTCACTTTACCTCTCTGCTGCTTGCAGTGTCAGAGGGCTTGAGAAAGACTTTCAAAGAAAGTGACAAATAGAAGTAAAATTTCTGCTGCTGATGCTTCTTACCATAAACAGTCCTTTACTGGAAAACTATTCTTTAAATAGATGCTGAGAGGTCAGTACACTTAACTTGTAAGGTGTAGATCTGGCATCAAGACTTTTTTTTTTTTTTTCCCCATTTAAATGTCCTTTAGTGTAAAAGCTTGACCACTGAAGGGATTTTATTATGGCTCATAAACTAGTGAAATCTAAAAATGTGTTCAGGTTCAGAAAAAGTGCTGAATAAAATAATTACCTTTGTTTTTATTTTTTTTTAATTTTTTTTTATTTAAGTGTGCATCATCTAGTCTCTTGGCCTCCTTCTCTAACTGCATCTTTGTCTCCCTCTCTGGCTCTGCTTCAGCCACATGGTCTCCCTCCACCTGCCATTTCTTCTGCCAGGGGCTCTTTAACCCCAGCTCTCATCCCTCAGTCAGGACAGCTCTCTCTCCCTCTTTGCAAGTTTAACCCTCACGTGTCAGACTCAGGTTGCCTCTGGAGAGAGGATTTTCCTCAAATGAGTTGCTCAGATACTCCCCCTTCCTCTGTTGTCTTTTCATAGTTGTCATGTCATTTTATCATTATTTAGTGTATGCATTTGTTATCTGTTTGTCTGACTCTTCCAGAAGACTATAAGCTCTGGCGGGCAAGTTTTATCTTTCTTATTCACCAATATGTCCTAAGGGTCTAGCATATAACTACACAAATATGCCTAGAACAGATAAATGTGGGTTGGAAGAATCTTTTATAGTTATTATTCCAGTACCTAGAGACCTCCATGACTTCCTCCCCACTCAACGCACAAATACCAATTATCCCCTCCTAGTCTGCAGCTAAACCTAGTGCTCTTGGCTTTATGATTAAGCATGAAGTTCTTTAGTTTAAACTTATTCTATCCACAAGCTTATCAGTGCTATCTTTCTCTCAAACTCTGACTTGTGCCTACAGTTTTTAAGGTTAACATCAATTAGTGGAGCTGAACATAAACTTCTCAAAATTAATTTTCCATGTTCATTCTCCATGATATATGATGAAAAATAATCCTCCACATTAAGAGTAAATGAATTTATATAAAATGTGTAACTCTTAAAAAGCCTCTTTTCTAGACATTATCAGTAATGCACCATGAATATACATAATTACATGTTTTTTTAAATTTCAGTTCTTCCATGTAGAATAAATTTTGTATTCCCTATCAATCTGTTATTGCCTAACTTCAGCAAGTTCAATATAAAAAGCAAATTTATTTTGAGCATATTAAAGTGATACTATCTTTGAGATAACTTTAAAATTTGCAATTGTGAAAACAAAGTCCAAGAAAGATAAATATTAATGTTTAAACACTATTCAGAAAGGGAAGACTCAAGATAGTTTCTTAGTATGGCATAAAATTACAGTTGGAAGAAAAGGTGATATAGTATTTAATTATAAAGGCTAAGTTTAACCATATTTTTCAAAAGTTATATATAGTACATATAATGATTTTAGTTCATCTTTAGAATACAAAATTATATCCACCGTGTAATGTTGACCCAACTGGCATTATATGAGCTATAGAAACTATAGGTGATTTCCAAAGCAGTTCCAAATTTGGGCCTAATTAAATATCTACAGAGCAAGAGACTTCTAAGTATCTTATTATTTCATGAACTCCCATGCAAATTAATTAGGCTGAATAATCCTAAAATCAAAAAATGAAATTTGATCACAAAAATGTAGTTTACTTAAACATGTTTATATAACCTTTCAAGGCAATTAGGATTCAACTCTCCTTCAACTGACAAATGACTAAGGGAGGCAATGGTCAGAAAATGAAGTAACTCTCCCTCTCTAAATGTCCTCCACGTTATTCCTTATGTTCCTCAAGTAAGTGAAACCATATGATAATTGACTTTCTCTGCTTGACTTATTTCACTCAGCATAATCTCTTCCAGTCCCCTCCATGTTGGTACAAAAGTTGGACTCTGAGAAACAAACTGAGGGTTTTGGAGGGGAGGGGGTGGGGGTATGGGTGAGCCTGGTGGTGGTTGTTAAGAAGGGCACAGATTACATGGAACACTGGGTGTGCTGCATAAACAATGCATCTCGGAACACTGAAAAGAAATAAAATAAAATTTTAAAAAAGAGAAGAAAACGAAGTAACTAAATAAACTTGAAATAGGGAAATGGAAGCATTGAGAAGGGAAATGAGGAAAGGAATATTGTCTAGATGCCCTGAATCATGATTTCAAGAGGAAGACAGCTACTCTTGGCTGTTCCAGGAGATCATGTTGGTATAGAGCAGGATATGTGAAAGGAGCAAGAGTCAATTTTAACAAAGATGCGTAATTCACAAGCAAAGTGCAAATAGCAATTATAACCCCCAAGCATGGGAGGGCAGGGTGGACCTTCCCAGCCCTGAAATGTGACATGTCAAGATCATTCAGCCATGAATACATTCATGAACGACATCCTTTACCATAAGGTAGAAAAGCAAATATACAGATGCCATTATGAGCTTCTTTATATTAACTAACATACAGAAATGGGAAATTTATAGAATACTGTTTTATCCCAGTAGAAAATATTTTTATTCATCATATATGGTTTAAAACCAGTAATTTTCCGATTTTATCACCATCTATACTACCCCCTCCTGACTCTCTGGACAAATTTACCATTTTTATGCTTTTATTTTTATTTTCTTAGCATCCTATACAGTAAAATCATGTTTTATTTCCATTTTCTTAAGTTATTAAAGGGATAAGTAATGTATTATAATTCATTATAATAGAATAATAAATTACTTCCACAGTTGCCCCTACTAGTTTCTAATGAACACTATTTATATTCATATGATGTAAACACTTGCCATAGAAAAGGTTTATTTCTCAAAAATCTTATTTTTCATTCCATGCTGCTTTAAAAAGTACCAGAAAATATGGAACTATATAATAGCAGATTGTTTTCATTTTTATACTAATAAGAGATGTAATTGTTTATGTGTGAATAGATGAAGAATAACAAATTAAATGTACTATTAACATTTTGATGTTGATCACTCATCTCTACTACAGCACAGATGTATATTTTTATTTTAAAAATCGATACTGAAATTAAATTAATTTCTGCTCCCCTTCAACTTAGATCATGGCTGCTACTCCCAATTTTATTCAAGAAAAAAAGAAAAGAAAGGAAAAGCAAAAGTAGGATTAGTACTCCAGACAGTAAGAGAAAATAAAGGATTGAAAAGATTAAGAGGACACAGACATGCTTACCTATAGCCAAAAAAGAAGCCAGAATGTAGATTCAAAGCCAAAAACTTGAAATGGAGAACATACCTCCCTCCTTTCTCTTTTGGTTTAATGGAGAAAAATATTGGTAATTGTACATTTTTAGTTAAAGTTATGTTTAATTATTTAGCCACATATGATTTAAAAAGTTCTTCCCTCACTCATGAGAATACATATGCTTTGTACAGCATAGATGATAATAGTCTATAAAAGATAATGGAGGATATTCTTTGCAGAATTTAGAGATTTACGATTAGTGCTAACAGTTTACAAGCATCCCCCAAACCACTCTTTACGGATACTCAGAATCATGAACATTGATAATTATAGTTTGAAGTTTTAAAAAACAACCCACCTTAAAATGCTAAACCTCCTATGGACTGTAAGAAAAAGAAACTTAACAAATCTACAAAAAAAAAAAATAATAGCTGATCAAAACTCAAAATAAAACTCTCTACAAATGCATAGCAGTTAATGCTGCAACATAGTAATAATTCAAACAAAGGAGAAGCATGCAGGCACACATCAGAGCATGACATCCCAGTTACGTGAGCACGCTAAAATAGGAAAGAAATGTCAAAAGTCTTCAGTCCGAAGGCAATGTTGATCTGCAAGGCCCTTTCCCATTAAAAATGATTATCAATTTACATAGAAACTTCAAAAGGTCAAAAATGGTGACCCCTAAAATCATAACCACACACCAAATACAACTCTGAATAATGTTTTAAATTGCAACCTTCACTCTCAGACCAACAATCTTTTACTGTTAGAAAACAGGAAAGCCTTTGGCTGCATTATTCATGTTGACCATAAAAGTTGGTTCATTTAAATTCAAGAACTCAATTCTTTAGCAAAATTAATTTCTATGAACAGGCTTAATA